AAGCCAGTTCTGAATTTTCATACGAAAAGATTGTCCACAAAAGCTATTCAGTGAATTTTTTTAAATCTTTCACTATGTGTGAGTAGTGTGTATGCATGAGAGTGTGTGTTTGTGAACGGCACAGTTATTTATAGTTTGGAGCTAATGTTGTGAGGCTCCGTCCCAAGAGATCCCCAATTATCATGGAATTTAGAAAGCAAAAGCTAAACCCAAACAGTCTAAAATAGTTCTAAGAATAGAGCGACCTTAGAGAGGATGCATTCTCCCGGCACAAATACAGCCATGTCAGTGGAAGACAGAGTAAAAGCGCACGCACAAAAGCACACACACAGACACAAAGGCTCTCCTCCCCAGGAATGCTTTTAGAGTGTTGAGACCAGATATTGTGTATAGGCAGATGTCTCTGTGGTAATAGTGGAAAGTATGATAAATTCTGGATGTAGCTTCATGTGCTAACAATCTGAGAGGTTCTTGAGATATAACAGAGATATATTTCAGATAGCAATATTCCTGTCAGCCTAGGAAGACTAATAAACATTCATCGGAACAACGGCACGCCTGGTCAGCTGCCAGAAAAGCCCCTCCGTGCTGTATTAGGTTTAAAAACGCGATACAAAACTCCCTAAATGCTGCGAGAGACTGATATCTGCAAGGAATGCACAGAAAAAATGAATTCCTAAAAAGATCGGCTTCAATTTATCCTGTTAACTTTACAACCATTAGTTCTTTAAACAATTTGTGGGGCAAAATGTGAAGATTTCCCAACAATTATACTTCGTTTAGTTTGGATTGGTGGAAAAATAAGCAAAACTGGAGCTGTTGGTGGGAGTGGATTTGTGCTTGGACTGGGATTTGAGCCCATGGTGAGCTTCCATGTTTGCGTGTTCCACTGCAATCATTCTGAGCCTCACAGACTCTCCGCTTGGCTTTAGCGGCACTCAACAAAACCGTCAACAGTGGGAATCATTTAAGAGGAGCTGTGAGATTTTAAATGTCATCCTTTGATTTGTCATAAAAGCAAACAAACAACAGAGGATGAGGGAAAAAGAGCCGTACAGTAAATAAAGCAGGACAGGCGGGTGAAGGCGCTCAGTCATTGGGATTTAAAGAGCCCCACTCACGCAGGTCTGGCGGGCCTGCCTCACGGCCAGAGCACTTCCTAAGCTACTGTAAACCCCAGACAGTGCCGGGCCTTTGATCCCGGAGCAGCAGCAGGCAGCCATTTAGCCTGTAAAACCAGACTACCTGCACATGCAAGTACAAGCAATCACAGAAATGGGTGTGCGCGCATAAATACAAGATGTAAGTAAAAGTCATTTCTGATTACGGTATTTGAGCCACGTATTGACGAGCCCTCATCTTTCCAGCCTCAGTGCCTGGAATGATAATAATGATGATAATGGCTTTTTACTGTTGCATCATCTCAGGGTGCTTTTTTACCTTCATAATAATAATACATCTATGACTAATAATCTTGTCAGCAGGAACTAATATTCTGAGTGATATTTCAAATTCGCTATTACATTCGGTATTACATTGAAAAGTACGGCCCTTAAAAGTGAAACTGTCTATGCCACAGCTTTATTTCACCGCGAGAAAAACTACAAACAAATGCCAGCTTCAAACACCAGCCGCAGAAAATGTAGCTGAAAATCAAATAAACATAAAAGGTATTCTCAAATCCTCTTATAAGCGTAGACAATATGCAACAGGAAGAGAAATTTGATACACAAAATAAGCCAAAAACGTTTCGGTGGGAAAGTCAGAGGATACGCTCGGAGGATAAATCGTGTGTATGTTTTATGTGAAGGTAAAGGTCACCCGGGTATACTCATATATCACTGAAGAACAAAGAGGGAGCAGAAATTGCCAGGAGTGTTAAAATATGTTTTTAAAAAAGGCTAATCTGCTTGGTCTACAACCTCCTCACCCCCCCTTTCCTCATCTTGTAAGGTCTGTGATGCAGCTGTTGACCCATGAACTCTAAAATGAGGGATATTAAAGCTCTGAAATCAGTTTGTCAAAAGGAGTTCTGGCTGCATTTAAAGCTGCCGTTTAACTCTTCAGCTACTTAATTTTTACCTCAAAAGCAATCCCCAAGACATCATCCTCTTTTTTTCACAGACTAAGTGTTATGGGTGATAATTAGTTGATCAATTTCTTAACATAATACTAAAATACCATTACATGATATAACTGTGGATAGGGACTTGTTATTTCTTTACATTTTTTAATTGTTTCCATTTGGGGGGGGAAGCCCTCTAGATACCCAAAGGAAAAGTGTTTTTCAGGGTTCATTCACATATGTCTCAGAAAAATTATCACGTAAAGAAGATAGAAAAGTCCAACTACACGAGCAGATAGCCATGACTGATCTTTGCTGTGGGATAAAGCTGAAAATAAATGTAAAAATAAAAAGAGACAGCCATTTATTCCCCACGGATTGGCAAAGAAGACGCCCACATGTTGCAGGGTTAAATCTCTCATTAAACTTTATGCTATGAAGATGGAGCCTCTTGGTGACAGAAAGCCATCTTTCTTTTTTATTTAAAGCCTCTCGTTTCACATTAAACAAGCCTGGACCTGGTTCCATGAACACCATCACGGCCAAAAATATTGCTGTCTCACAGACCTAAATCAGATTGAATTGTGTCATACCTGCCTACTAGATCTTCTATATTAAAAGGATAGCTAATGCTAATTTATCATAAAAGAAATAGCTCTGAATTTTTACTCACACAATAAAGCTCAAATGAATAGAAATTAAACAAACAACAAAAATACCATACGACCTGTTTTTGTTCTTTTTTTTATGAAAAGCTAACAGGAAACACTGCCCAGTGCCTTTACGGTGTACACAATGAATACCTCATCCGCTGAAGTCCTTTTGAGGGTGATGCAGGTGAGAAGAGAAATCTCAAATTTCCAACCAACTCCCATGTAAAATGTCCAGAACATCATAAAAGAGTGAGCAAATGTTCTCTGCTGCCACTCAGTGAGCGGAGTTTGTGTGTGTTCTGGTGAGACTTTGTCTTTTTTACTGATCGGTGGGTCCTGTGTTGCTTTCTGCTCGCTTCTCACTCTCCTGGTTTTGCACAGATTGACACACATTCCGGATACATCATCAACTCACTGGGAGAAAGCAGAGACTTCCACAGTTACCTTTGCAACACCTGCTGCCTCTTATCTGCCCCAGAAGTTCAACCCCTCCCTCGGCCGCCCTCTCATTTCAAGCTGTGATGTACTGTCTGAATAGCAGCTGTGGGAAAAGATCACATCAAATAACCTGCACACTAAAGACCTGGACATGGATTTGTCTTAATGGCCACTGATGCTCCTCAAACTGCAGCTTGTTGGTTTTGTGTTTGAGCTCTAAGAGTGATGAGACACCTAAAGATATCAATTTAGAATTTAATCTACTCCATAGTAAAGCTTTGCGTAGACTGAGTGGACCTTCAAAAACATCTGAATTGTGAAACCGTGAAACTTAAATCACTGACTTCTAGAAGAAGATATACATGGTTATTACAAAGTTATGTCTTCTTTACGCTGTCGCCGGACACCAACCGCAAGAGCCGGATACTCCTAAAAACAGATGAAAGGCAGGTCCTTTAACACTCAGACATAAAGATGCACAATAGTGGCCTTTTTAAAAAGCATAGCCGCTCTCATCTGGGTTGTTCAATGAAACCTTACATCCCTCTAATTTCCTGATGTATGAATTCAGTCCCTATCCGATAAATGATTTTGATCAATCTCCCGCAAAAACACGGCTGGCTAAAGTTAATTTCAAGGCAAGGAGGTAATATTTCAGAGCCAAGGGACTGACTGGTATGGAGGTACATACATAAATTCACACATGAAGTCATCCTACATGGAAATTTTCCACGGTTTGAAGTAGCGCGCCGAGGTCTCACCAGCAAACTCTGCTCACAGTCCTGTCTACAAGCGGGGGGTCCAGGTTTTAAATTCCACGCAAGGTCACTCATGTCTTTTGAGGCCATTGCATATTGGCCTTGGAATCACTTCGCCTGGCCCCTCTTATTGACACGATATGCCCCGGGGGACTTCCCAGGTGCTGCACGCCCCGGAGAACACACCTCCCCGGACCACGCCATTTCCTTTAACACGAGAAGGTTCCATGCATTCTCAAAACATTGAGTCCTAATGACTTGTACAATATGTTATGAATTACTGTTTTTGGTTGACTGTGGAAATTGATTGATTTATGAAAAAAACAAGAGACAACATGAATTTTGATGCAAATGTTTGAGGTTCTCCTCAGTGGTATTTGCCCGGAGTGGTGCTTCCTTGGCCTATTCATTCAGAAGACATGGGAATGAACTGTCTCTGAGGTGATAAAAGGGACAGCTGAACAGGCCAGAGTGACAACCAATAGATCAGGTCTTTATGACCACCAGTTTAGAGATGAGAAGGAGACCTGCTGCGGCCAGAAGTCCCCCCCCTCTCCCAAGCCTGCAGTCCTGACCTTCCCAGGAGAGTGCATCATTAGGGCCCATATAAACTTTTGAAGTAGCGAGTCCAAGGAAAGGCCAGGTATGTAGAGCAATAAATTGTGGCTTTAAATACAAACACGAAAAGTGAAAGAGTGCACGACCCCTGACATGGAGATGACTACCTCTCCGCGGTGATGTCTTCTGTTTTTCTCTCCGTGGATGGATACCTGCCAGCCGTAACTTATAGCTTCCCACTATTACGCTCAATAAGAACGAGAGCTAGAGGACTTCTTTGAAGTCTTTTACTCGAGCCAGTAAATCCTTACCGGTGATACAGAGCGCATGAGTAAAACCCCTAATTAATTGTGACATTCAAAATGATAGGAAGTCAATTCTTTAAAGCTCTGTCAGAAGTGAATATATTAAAACCATCTGATAAGCGAGTGTGAGTCACAGTGAGATAAGCAAATCGCAGCAGGCCGTGGCAAATTCTGCAAGAATGAGTGTGCATGCAAATGTTCTTGAAGTACTTATGAGTGCATACCGAGGAGAGTCTGGTATTCCGAGAGTTTATAGCTCCCTCTCATGTCTGGTGAGTGAGTGACAGAGGGAGGCAGGCGAAGGGTGTTTCTCCACTGCATCTCAGCCAGGGACAGCTGACTGGTTGGGATCTAATTGCTCTCAAGTGAGGTCAGCAGGAGGCATTTATCTAAGCGGAGTACACAGCGACAGTGGAAGATGCACAGAGTCAGCTTGCCAGAATCAGAGAAAAGTACATGGGACCTGACAGAAGCTCCCAGCTCTCGCTCCGCTCTGCTGCATCACTGGACGTGGTTTACCACTGAGCTCACGGCTTCAGAACCAGAGAGCCTTCGCACTCAGACTCTGACCGGAGAGGAGCAGGCGCCTGACAACTCCTATCATCACTGACAGCACGTGTAAGTCACTATGCTACAGACGGATTACTTTCTCTTACGAGTTGAAACGTATATTAGTTGTTGTTTGGTAGAAGAAGTTGACACCGAAGAGAACACAGTGCTGTGTATTAATCAGTAAACAGTTTAGTGGAAATGTGTCTGTTCTCTGACAGGGAGCCACATGTCTGTCAGTGTGCACCATCAAACTGCAAACAAAACTTTACAGCAGCTCCACTATGAGCCATTATCTCCAAAATTTCAAGATGTCATATATTGTTTATTCTTATTTCTTAATTTTAATGTGCTATTAGCAGAAAATAATCAAGTCTTTTTTCTTCTTAGTGACACCGTGTTCAACTATTTTGATCCTGGATTATGTCGCCACTTGTTGGACTATGGTCTCTAGAGGATGGATCAGTCAGCGTGTTCTCTCACTGAGGACTAACAGAAAAAAATCACCTCCGGACACCGTCGGCTGTCCTCTCTGGGAGACTTCCCACCAGCCACTCCACGCCAGCCTCACAAGGTCTTCCTCTCAAGATCCCTGTCCCAACATCCCACCAGGAATCTCCTCTCCAGAAAAAAAAAGGGCCTGAGTCAGGGCTCAGAGGGTCGGAGGGCTGAGGGATAGTGCGCGGCTCCCAATCTCGCATTTCAGTATGTGGTTCATTGATCCCCACTGTATTGTATGATAATGCGCAAATGGATGCTGACATGGAACCTTCAGAATCTGTTCTCGGGACTCTACCTGCACGCAGCCTTTCTGTTTGGCAGTGTGTGTGTGGTCTACAGTGACTGCACCCCAGAGCAACTCGCCGCCATCATGAACTGCTCCAAACACGAGCGCCACACAAGGAACTATGATTACATGGAGGGAGGAGATGTGCGAATTCGACAGCTGTTCAGCGGCACGCAGTGGTTCCTAACGATTGATGACTCGGGAAACATCAACGGGACGCAAGATCCCACCAACTGCCACAGTAAGGACAACTCATCCTTTTCAAACCTAGCATCCTTTATTGTGTCCATCAGTAACAGATACAGTTCATTGTGAAACGCTCTGTGTTTGTGTTGATTACACAATTGTCACCGTCTTGTCAGAACAAATGTTCTGAATCTAGATCCACTTTAAGTTAGTCTATGATCGGTTTTGGGACCTTTCTGCTCAGTCAGTAAAGAACCTGTGGTTTGACAGAAGCACGTGGGCGGTGTTATTGTATAGAGCTGGCCACGGTGTTAATGAGTCATCTGTCTCTGGTTGAGCAGCCAAAGTGACAGAGGTAAAGCAAAGCAGGTGGGCTTTTTGGCTTTTTAACACCAAACAAAGGCTGCAGTGAAGTAAACTGAGGGCTCTTTGAGACTTCAGGGTGCCAGGACTCTGTGATCCCAGACCCACATGGCACATTTGTTCAGCATAAACCTGATGTTAAAATTAGATTTAGGTACAGTGGGATAACTTTTTTTCTTTTAGTCTTTTTAAAACTGAGAAACTCATAGTCTAATTAACTTGAGATAAACTTAACTTAAGATATTACCATCTGACATTCCTCAGAGACTGAGGGCATAACTTGTCTGACCCAAAACTTTTTTCTGGAACAACTTAAAAACTAAGTTAAAAGAGCCAGAGAATTACATTTTATCTGCTAACCATAGTGGCCATCATATAACACAGGAAGTTGTTAAAGAAAGATGTTGTTTAGTGCCGAACATTTTCTGAAGCTCGTGTTTACAAAAGCAACATGAAGTCTCAAAGTGAGAATGTTTGGTGTAGTTATCGTTTCCTCCTATCTGACAGTGTGACAAAGGCTGGAATGTTGGCTTAAAATGGAGAGGGATCATCGGAGAGATTTGTCTGCAACAACTGGCACCGAAAGGCAGAAATGTTAATGCACCCATATGTGGCTGTCAAAGGGGGCAAAAAACAACAAATCTAGCTAAATCTATTGTTTGATCAAGCTATCCTTTTATGGATTTATATATATATATATATATATATATATATCCTGGAATCCTGTTTTTGGCTTCTGCTTTTCATTTTTCACTGTCACAATTCCATGTGAGTCTAATGTGTTTTCACAAAACAACACATTTATGCTGTCATCGCCATCTGTCAAACCATTGTTAGAATGCAAAATGGACTACAAAAATATTTTCCTGACACAAGATACCATATGAATAACTCCAATTTATTTGGACATGTTTTTCTTAAAAAAATCTATATTATTTAAGGTTTTTCAGGCTGGCTATTCAACTTAATTGTACAAAAACATCATCAAAAGTACACAAATTGTTAGTATGAGCTGCTGTATCTCTCAATATATAAATGGGAAACAGTAATCCTTATTCTAGGTAAGATGTACGTCTTAGTAAAAGAACATGGTAAGCTTGATTTGAGTTTAACCAAAATGTGGTAAAAATGGGGGGAAAAAATCAATAAAAAGCAAAGAATATGATAAACAACAAAAATGAAATGAAGAAATTCTCAACATTACAAACGACAAAGCCCCAAAGGATTAAAAGAAAATCACATGGAAAAGAGTCAGTGGAAGCTACTAATTGGATTGGTTACAAGATTACATAAAAGACCAATACAGAATTTAATAAACCTTAATCCACCTCCTGAATACAAAAGGTGTTTCCAACTGAAATGTGGCTTTGGATTAAAATGACTTTTGAAAATACGATGAATAACTATTCAAGAGTTGATCTCTTATCCTCTTTAAATTGTCAGGATGAATACCAGGTTGCATAATAATGCTGTGTATTACTGGAAGCAGCATTCGTACCCGTAATTGTAAAAGTTTGGATGCCAGCACTGTTAAGAAAAGCTCATTTGGGGGTTACCCACATGAATGTGCCAAACACCAACATTTTTAAGAATATGCAATATGTATGTGAGAGAAAACAAGTTTCATTTTTCCACTGCATGCGTAAATGCTAGCTTCAACATGTCTGTGGGCAAATCTCACACCGTGTAGGATTACATCCTCAGCTCCCACAGTTGTAAGGATTATTAGGAAACAAATTAAGGATTTGAGATAAACTTCACCAAATGTCACGGTGAAAAATATCTATCAGATTAGGCGAATATGAGAGAACAGTCAAAGGGCGGAACTAATTAGTCAAATATAAAGTGCAAGCAGAGCACAAACAACATTCCACTATTGGGAGACTGCCATCTGTTTGTGATCAAGCAAACACTAAAATGCATGCATGCTCAATGTCTTTCTGGAGAGTTTTAATAGAGTTTTCTCTTTTTTTCAATGTCTGCCTGTCAAAAGAAAGAATTTCAGTAATTAAATAAAGGAACTGACAAGGTTTTTGTTTACCAAAAAGATCCGTCAAATGGAGCTTGTTGTTCTTCTCAAACTACATATTTGAATAACAAACAACCCTTTAGATTTACAGCTACATATTTGTAATGGTAACAATATCCCCTCCTCAAAAAGATCAAGTAAGCAGTGTGTGATGTGTTTGAGGGCTTCCCTTTTATTACTTTTTTTATTGTCATCTAACTTTATGGACCTTTGACTTTTGGATAAATAATTGTAGGCGAGTGTATCTGTTCAATTACATAAGAAAACTAGATGAGTCCCCATTCCTAGGATTGCCTTTCAACAGGGCACACTGTGGCTTTATTGAAGTGGTATGCGTTTTCAAAAAAATCAAACATTAAACTATCATTTGTTGCAAAATCTTCAAAAATCCCATAACCCTTGAGTAAGCATGAGAGTTTCACCCTCCCACAGATTTGAAGAGCAGACCTAAAATGTAGCGTGCAAAGCACATGCCAGGAGGTAGTTTTCTCAATCCCAGGAGAGAGAGACCTAATCTGTCTCCCATATGTGCAATGGCATAGGTTGTGGTTTGTGTAATGGCCACCCAGGCAAGTTAACAAGACTTGAACAAAGCCAGAGAGACCACAGACTGATTAATCGCAGGAACTTCCATCTCCTTTTTTAATGAAGATGAATGTGGAGTGCAGCACAGAGCTGGAGTGAAGGACGGATGTTGACAGGATCTTATCTGTCCTGCAGTGTGTCTCGTTTTTCTGACTGCGATTATCTGGCAGGTATCCTGGAGATCAGAACTGTTTCTGAGGGCGGCATCCTGGCTATCAAAGGTGTGAAGAGCCAGTATTATATCTGTATGAGCAAGGCCGGACAGCTGCAAGGCAAGGTAATATTTTTCCTCAATGAGAAAATCCTACTCGTACTCTTTAGTCAAACAGCAAGAACCTCTTAATTTCCAGTTTGATCATCTTGACCAAGAGCAGACAATAAAATCTGCTGGTAACCGCACGCCACCTTGCAATGACGCTTTGTTTTATGTCCATGACAGAGGATCTACAATGAAAACTGCAACTTCAAGGAGGTTTTCCTAGAAAACTACTTCAACGCTTACTCCTCCACGAAGAGGACTAAAAACGGCAAAGAAATGTTCATAGCCCTGTCGCAGAAAGGAAGACCAATGCGAGGGAAGAAGACCAGGAGGGAGCACGTCGCCTCTCACTTCATCCCGATGCAATGCCGAGAGGAGGAGAGGAGAGTGGAGTGAAGAAACCAATGACTCAGTTGCAAACTGTTGGTGGTTTTAGTCCCATTTACATGTTAGCACACACATAGTCCCATTACCGGCCTCACAGTGCATCCTCCTCAGGCTTTAGATTGTGTACGATAACATGCTATCGAAAGGAGGATTAGATTAAACCACTTTAGTCAACTTTAAATACGACATCTGAAAGTATGGAAACACTGCTAAAGTTGGTTGTGTCGTTTCTATTTTGAAGTAGTGTTTTCCTACAAAAAGCACAGTCAAGACAAAACTCTTTTTCTAGGCTGATCCACAAACTAGAGGATGAGGAGACCTACGTGATCACAAGAAAGGTTGAGAATGAACATCTGGCTTGACCAACGAGTGCGGAAGCAAGCTGGACTTGTCTTTTTCATTTCAAACGACTGAGTTACACTCAACTGCTGCCCACTAAATGAGAATAGCGCATTCTTTACAGAAATATAAACGGCGTGCATAAAACAAGCCATTTGTGAATGATGCGTTCGAGACCGTTGGAGAGTGGAGTCTGGTCAAACGCACCAAAGCTGCTCACTGACCCCCTCGTCTTTGCAGAGGGATTTTGAAATGCTAGAACGTTCTGCTGGTCAAGAGATGCCCGGACTAAAAACCAAATCGAACAGCATGAGTGACGTGTATGCTATATAATCTCTTACGGAGCAAACAATCTTGTATGATAACAGCTCACATATTTATTTTTAAAGAAGTTTTCTTCTGTTTCTGTTCAGACATTCCTGTTTTACGAAGCATGGCACGGACAACAGAGGTAACATAGGCCCATTTATGGTCAAACACTCCTTTCACCCACAGTAACCCAGCTAAGGCTTTGTGGTTCATGATTGTAAGTTATTTCTTTTCTTTATATAAATAGATTTGTTATGTGTTAAATTGTCCCCTATACTGCAACGTGCATTGTTCTACGTTGACCATTTACTGTGAAACAGATGAAGCAGTTTTATGGCCTCTATTGGGGTTTTTTCTCCCCTATAGGGGTATAACAGACCTCAAATCACATCCCATACGCTAGCTTAGTTCCTTTTGTTGACAGCAAGCGTCTGCCTAACAATAAATCAAACAGAAAGGAGGTTTCGGCCGTATATTCAAACATTTCCACCTGCTCTAGTCTGAGACTGTGCTTTTTGACCGCATGTCAAATACTGTACAATACAAGGCATTTATCCTGCCACTAATGAAACTATGCTATTGAGGACAAAAAAGAAGAGAAGTGTATTTTTCTTACACACTGTGATGGGAAAATTCAGAACACTTGCACCGGCACTGTGCATTTTAGAAGAGCTATTTATTCTGTCTATCACTAATAACAATGATAACCTTGTTGTTCATTCACAGCTTGTTCAGTTTCTGTAATCAAAACTCCGATCTGGTCTCATTTCTGAATAATATGCAATCTGTAATTTGCTGTATTTTTAACCTTGTTAGAATATGACTGTTTTGAGAACTTACTGTACACTTAAACTCTAGAATTTGCATAATCCTTTGGAGAAAATGTATCATCGATGAAGCAGCTGCAACGTTTCGAATTGGGACGCTGATGTCAGCTTTAAGATGATTAATTACCCAGCACAAATAAACTCTTGGAAAAAAAAAAAACTGTGTGTCCTTGGAAATCCCAAAAACACATCATGAGGTATTTCGATCTGTCAGAGGAGGTTAAGATGAGATACTGCTCAAGGATATCTCTAGAAATTTATGATGCAATATCCAAATGCATTGAGCTAAACAAAGTAAAAAGTGGGATCCTGTCAGGGAGGAAAAATATTGCAGACATATTGGCTGTGTGCCAACACATGCATATAGTCTTATGAACACAGGCTCAAAAAAAGCACCCCAACAAGACACCCCTCAAGAACCGGTTTTACCTATTGCCCGGGTTCACATCTGGCTCGGAGAACCCCTGTCAGATAAAGACAGTCAAATTGAGAGAGCAAACCTCTGAAATACGATTGACCCGAACAACATCTGAGCAAGGTGAAGGCTCCTGCCAAGTCACGCAAAGTTAGTCTTAGCAGATAATTTGTAACATGCTCGAAATGTAAACACATTTCAGACTCAAGGCTGTGTGTTCCCAGCCGGACGGGGAGTGGCCGATGCCAAGCAGCATGCGGGGGGATCGCCACAGACGTGAAGCTGCACTTTTCCCAGAAAAAAAAGATTGGAACACATGCCCGCTGGGCACCGAAATTGTTACTTTCAGGGTTTTCCAAAGGTACTAATATTGTTTATTAAAAATGCTCCTGAAACCGCAGACAATTTTACTATGTCAAGATAGCAGGACCAAATGACCAAACTCTTGCCAGTAAAAACAGCTTCATTACAATAAATGGTAATGGCTCAAAATACCATCGATAACCCAAGGCAGGAGAGCTGTTTAAACTGCCTGTCTAAATAGTTTTTATTTCGTTTTATTAATAACTACATGCTGTTTATTTCTTACCAGATGTAGCGATACTTTCAGTACTAATGAAGAGATTTGCAATAATAAGTCCAAAATGTAATAATGAAGGAGTTTATAAGCCTCCGAGGCACAGCGCAAAGCAAAGCTGATCAATTTAGAGTAATGTTACATTACTAAACTGTCTATACTTCTTTATTTCTCGACTTTAAAAAATCGACAATTGTGCTACTGTGCAATTTGATGGACCTCCTGAGAATAAGAGCAATTCCATAACAATAATTCACTCTTCTTTGTGACGCTTCACAACAGCGGTACTGAACTTTTATGGAAGCGTAAACAGAAAACCACATGTGTCCCGTATTACAGGCTACATGTGCAGACACAGGCAGTGTCTGCGAGGAGGGTGAAGGCTGCAAACAACGGGGCCAAAAAGCAGAGAGGGGGGGGGGGGGGAGTGAAGACGAATAGAAAGGGAGTCTCGTGCGAGGTGGAGAGGTGGTTTGGGGGCACGGGGAGAAAGGGGAGGCCCTGAGGGGGAGAGGGAACACGCAGCTGAGGTTGATACACTTCAGAGCCGTAAACCTTCATTTCCCCAGAGGAAATCTGTTGTTATGCAACCTGGGGAATTCTTTGTTTGCAGCTCTTAGCACGGAACCCCCAGAAAAAACCGGGGCGGGGGGAAAAGGAGGTCGGGACCCCCAGCGAGTCATCGCAACATCACAGTTTTACGGAAAGTGACTGGAATCACCACAGAGAGAAAACAAGTTCTGATTAAAAAAAGATGTTCCCCCTCACTTAAAAGCTTTAGAGCAAGGATCAAGACGAACAGATTCAGTAACCATGAGGTCAAGCCAACAGTTACTCAGAACAGAAACCCAAAACGCCTCCCAGCAGGTTGAGCAAATGCTATTCAGACGAGTCTGTCCAGAGTGGACTCAGATTCTTTTGGATAGCTCGCCACTTTTTCAATAATATGGTAAGTATTAGCACTTTTCAAGGTTTTCTCAATTCAATTTCACATTCAGATTGTTGGCATTTTGGGATTAGACCATCAGAAAAATGAGTCACAGTTGTTCAACAGCAGGAAATGATTGGGCGGCCATCACGCATACAACAAGGCATTTCCAGCAAAGAACAGTCAGAAAAGATGGCGTTTAAAATGTGCCATTCCTCATATATTTTCAGGTCATTTTGCATGGTTTAAGTAAAAATGTGCTCTTCTGTTTCCCCCCACTCTGAATTGCATTTAGTTTTGCACCCTTCAGAACTCCCCCCCAATCCTTCAAGGCACTAAGTCCTTTTAAATAGACCAGTGTCACTCCTAATGTTGGTTTAACAATATAAAATAATTGTTAACGGTCGTCAAACCGCCATATCAGCTCGAGAGGATCTACAAAAAAAGGTCAACATGTGGAACTTATAAAGATAAATATAACTCAGCATTATTTGATGCATTTATCTTGCTCATACATACAGTTTCATGCATTTTCAAACAACTGAGGTTTTAAAAAGGCTGCAAACCTATTTCTATTTCTACATATAGCATAATTTTTAACTAAAAAAACCTGCTGAAATGTTCAGTTCACTCAAGTGTAATGTTATCTGAAGGGTCACATCTTTAAAACCTGAAAAGGTCCCAAGCAAATGAGTCGCACATGTCTTTACACTAACACAACCCTAACCTGCCACGGATCTCTCTGCGTTTAATTTACTCCTCTATGTTTATGGCTTTTTACAGGGATCACTAAGTGTATTTGTTCCAGTAAGAAAAAGCCCATTAGGGGTCGTGTGGATTAACGGCACTGAGTCAGTGTGTCTGTGAGTCTGTTGGAGTTGATGTTTCACATATGTCCCGTGACAGCTGGTGAATAAACCCCCAAAACCTCTGTAAAGACTTTCAGCAGATTTACCTGCTAACACCAGTTTTGTTTAGTCATTTCGTTTTATGAAGGATTGCATGACTATGAGAAAATACTCATGGAGCTGTCAAACCACAAATTGTTGGGTAGAAAATAATGACATATATTTCAATACTGAAAAAGATTGACAGATGATTTGTAATGCTGATATTTTCTTGGCTGGAAATGAACTATCAAATTAGTTTTTGTTCCTAAAAGGGCCTCTTCATCCAACAAAGACACTGCACATCCCATAAAAGTATGAAAAATCCATTTTAATCACAGAGGGAGTCACGATATTCTCATTTCAGCAGGCATGGAAGTGAGCAGTTTCCTGAATTGTGGTGTGTTTTTTTCCCCTGTGACTGTCATAAAAAGTATAGTTTTTTTTTATTTTGATTAAACACAGAAATGCGTCCAGAAATTGAGGCACTATAGAAAACAATTACTTACACTACCTGAATTTGTCATGGAAACTGTTTCCAAGATGCATGGAATTAAATAGTCTTCTGTTGTTTGTCAATGTTCTGGCAAGTCTCTATATTTATGAGGTCTGCCTCTGCTTTGTAGTATTTACAGGGGTATTACCTCAGTAAAAACAGAGGGATCATTTGAAACTCTATTTAAAAACTGTGAAAACATCCATCAGAGCCATCCATTTGCTGTACCATTTATTCCTAATAGGGTTGTGAGGCTGGAGCCTATCCCATCTCCAAAAGTAGGTTATAGACTAATGTGTTTTTAGGTTTTATTCATAGTTCTGAAAGCAATGGATAGCATTTTAAAAAGACTATCTTGTCAAGTCTGCATTTATAAACATCAATCCTAAACTAACTTGTAATCCGATACCATAAAAAAGAGGGTTTCCCTCTTTTGAAACATGTTCTGTGCTGTGGAATATCTATTTCTGTGGCTGACCTGGATGTCATACCTGAAGGATACACCATGGAACGCATCAAATCTAACAATGTGTCAGACTGTCAGACTGAGAGAGCTGGTTTAGATCATCTGTGTGTTGTTACCTGAGATCCAGAAGGTCACCAGATCCACTGGGTTTGTAGAACTTGTCAGCCAACTGTCCATTTGATTCAGGGTAAAGGAATATAAAAGGGAATTGTCAGCCGGAGTCTCGACACACCTGAAAGACAATAAATCTTTAATCTTTGATTTCAATGTTTTCAACTGTCTAACATAGCAAATACAGAGGAAAATAATGTTATCATAAAGCGTATTCTTTTGATTTCTTATGGACTCAAGTAAACGAGCGGAAAATCCAGCCAGACAGTTTGTTTTCTTAAATTAAACTGAAAATTTGGGGAAAAGATCGATAACACATGTCTGCAATAGACGGATCGTGTGTTTTCTGATGAATGCAGATAAATCACAAGCATGAAATTGTTATGTCTAGCTATGTCGAGATGTAATAACGGTCATATCCAAACCACAAAAAAAAAAAAAACACTTTAGAAACAGGTAAATCAAGACTGGTTTGAGAAATATGACTCATGCCCACAACGTGTGTTTCCATGACCTTCAATTCAACCTGGCACACAGAGCATGTTTGGCAGATCTCTCATTGTTTAGAGTTCCATATCACGATTTTTGGAGGGTCTCAGTTGAAACATCTGTTTGCCATGGAAGTCTGCATGCGATTGCCTGTTTTCATAGAAAGTGTGACAGCTCAGGTATCTTTGAAATTTGACATAAAGGAATCTGTTTCGCATCACATCGAGCACATCTTTGAACAACACAGCATCCCAGAGAATTGCTCTGCAGCACACTGAAGGAAAATACCCACAATGATCTTTTCATCGTGATTCATGTTTGTTCTACTTTATTTGACAGTCAAAAAGCTTTTTAAAAGCATATGATAATTAGAATCAGCAGCAGCAATTCACAATCTGTATCCAGATGGGAAAGAATGCCCAAGTATATGAGGTAACCATTATCTGTTAGGATAGATAGATAGATAGATAGATAGATAGATAGATAGATAGATAGAT